AGCTTGTACAGGGATCTTTTACTAACTCTTCGTTTTCTATCACAAAAACTTTCATTACGAATACCTTAGTTTACACATAAAACGATATTTGGTGCATTTCTTGCCATGCCTGCTTTTTGTTTTACATGCATATAATATATTTATTACATATAAACCTTGAAATTATAAGATCGCTGACAAGCTGGCAAACATAAAAACGGGTGAAAAGGTTAAATTTTAAGAAAGCGGAGGAGGGACTCATTCCGGCCTTCCGCTCCTCCACGTGGCCCTACTTTCAGAACCAGGAGGAAGGAAATAAGCAAGTTTGTAAATATGTGTATACGATAAACATACGGTAAAAACTGGATTATAAAACATTTTTGGTGGGAAAGAAATAGGAGCAAGACGTCAGCCTCTCGTCTTAGTATAGCCGCTATAATTGGGGGTGCAGATTTTTGTACGGGAAGGAAGCCCGGGGAGAGGGGGGATGAACGACGGGGAAGCCCTACAACGGGGAAGCCTCCGCCGCCCCGAGCTCTCCGCTTCCGGAGCTAGGCCAGATCGACACCGCAGCAAGCAGGCCGCTCGCTTCCTTGCGCAGCCGCGTCGTTTCCTGGGCCGCTGCCCCGCCTTCGGCCCCTCCTTTCCTGGCCGCTTGCTGCCGCCACGAGGCCGGTCCGCCGGCCTAGCCGCCTACCTTGCTCTTTTTGGGGCCGGCGTGGTGCGGAGCGGCGTCGGGCTCCATGGGGGTCTCGGGCTCCAGGTCGTCCTCGCTCTGGGACTCGAAGCGGGGGGCGGCGGGCATTTCCTGGGACTCTTGGCCGCGGAGGTGATGGCAGAAGCGGCTACTCGAAACCGAGGCCGGCGTGAAAGGAAAGAGCCCCGCCCCGCCGGCCCTGGGGAGGAAAGAGGGGCGGCGCGGGAGGAGGAGCGGCGGCCGCGGAGCTGCCAGGAAAGCGCTGCGGCCGTGCAGGGGGAGAAGCTGCCGGGAACGAAGCTGCCTCTGTACCCGCCAAGTGGCTCGCTGGGGCTGCAGGTACGGCGTCACCCCGCGGGGCAGCCAGGTTGCCCACGTGGAAGGCAGGCCGCCGGGGCTCTCCTGGTTGCTGCGGCTGGAGAGACCGGGCGGCGCTGGTGCTCTGGGAGAGCTGAACCGTTCCTGCCTCTGGGTGGCAGCCGGGCTGCTTTCGTTGTTCTTAAGAGGGGTGAGTGCAAACTTTCTTCACCTGCAAGCTAGAAAGTGGAGGGTTTGCAGACTCGCTGCCAAGGTTTGCTTGGTCAGGTGGGAGAGAGGCTGGTAACAGGGGGAGAGATAACCGGCTCTCCCAGGGCTGGAGGCGTTTTAGGAGGGGGCAGCCTGGCAGCCCAATGCTTGCGAACTGGGTTTTTTCTAGTACTTGGGAGTTCTAAGTTACGTGGGAAGGTAGGTAGGTTTAGGTTTTCATAATGATGTTGATAAAATAGCCTCCTATAAGCTCTGTTTAAGTTTACTTTATTGTCATTGCACCTTGTTATGTTAAATGTCTTCAGTGTACATTAGAACTATAAAAATAAAACACACACATCCTTCACAATCTATTCAATTGAATAGAAAACCTAATATTACATTAGTATTGCACTGTACAGTAGAAAACAAAATTCTATTTAAAGCAGGCTTAATGCAACCAGCTTGTCAGAGGGAGAAGGAATGCACCAAACAGCGACAAATTATAGATCCATGTTGGCGAACTAAGGTGGCACACGGAACCAATTGTTAGGGCATGCGGGGCGCTGCCCTGTCAGCTGGCCATCGCATATGCACGCACTGGCCAGCTGACTTCGGCCTTCTTTTGAGGCTGTTTTTTGGGAAGGCCCCTGAAGGCTCCGGAGGTCGAAAATCAGCCTTATGGACATACCGTAAGTCACCATTCCTGAACCTCCG